AAGGTACGTGGTGACGGGCAGTCGGACTTGTGAGGAGGAGTTGCTGCAGCTGCATGAACACCAAGGTCAGTGGAGGAACGGAGGAAGAAAGGAGGGGGGAGGTGTGCTGGAGCAGAGACCCCCCTGTATCCTGTGGTGAGACGGCAGGGCGGCCCCCCCTGCCACCCATGAAGATCTACGGTGGAGCAGACACTGATTTATGGCCTGTTGTTCCTGCTCGTCTGATCAAGGTTCTGTGCCCGAAGAAGGCCGGGGTCTCGTGGGAAAAGGCAGCCCCGCTGCTGTAATTCAGTGCTGGGAGAATTGCAGCATGCGGGGGAGTCCCACGCCGGAGCAGCTCGGGAAGGGCTGCAGCCGTGGGAGGGAATCCAGTCGGAGGAAGTTAGTGACCCATGACGGAGCAGTGTGGGGAACGCTGCGGCCCATGGGAGGAATTCAAGTTGGAGAAAGTTTGTGGACGACTGTCTCTTGTGAGAGGGGGACCATGATGGAGCAGGGGGGAACAAATTTTGGACACTCCCCTCACCGAAGATGAAGGAAGTGGCAGCGCTGACTGCACCCCCCATTCCCTGCCCCTGTGCCACCGGGGGAGGAGGTAGAGATATCGGGAGCAGAGCTGAGCCTGGGAAGAAGGGAGGGGTGGGGGGAAGGTGTTCTCAAGATGTGGCAATGCTTCTCACTGTCCTACTCTGTTATGTGTTGTTAGTGTCTGTAATAAATGTATGTTCTTTTTTTTCTTCCCCTAACGAGTCTGCCTTTTGCTCGTGATCATAAAAGGGGGATTTTCCCCCATCCCAGTCCTATCTTGAACCCGAAGCCTGGCTCTCTGTCCCTTCTCCTTGCTGGAGGGGAAGGGAGAGAGAGGTGCTGCATTGTGGTTGGCTGCCAATCAGGCCTAAACCACGACAGGGGCCCTGCAGCAGGACTTGATATTTGCAAACAAGGAAGATCTGCTCAGGACTGTAACAATCAAGGGTGAGAAAGTGGAATATAGGATGCTGAGAGAAGGGAAGAAAGCAAGGGGCAGGACGTCAGGAGAGCAGGCTTTGACCTGCTGAAGTACCTGCTTGGAAGAATCCCATGAGATACAGCCCTGAAGAAGAAAGGGGTGCAGAGAACTGATGGTTAATGTTCTCCACGTCACACTCCAGAACAGTCCACACAGACATGCAAGAAGTCAAGAAAAGGTGGCAGGAGGATGGCATGGATGAAAAAGGAGCTCCTGACAGAAACCAAGCATGAAGAGGAAGGACAGAGGAGGTGGAAGCTGACTGCATTCCAGGCTCAGCGGTTCTGTGATTCTGTGCTGGAGAGAGACATTTGTGTGTACATGTGCTTGTCTGTGTGTGGAGGAACTGGGGGGATGAGGGAATTCTGGATCGAGGTCCCAGACAGCTGGAGGACCTAAAACCAGCTTCTGGAGAGTTCCTTATTGTTTCAATCTCTATACAGGTATATATTTTCCACTAACACGGTCTAACATACAAACAGCTCAACCCCCATTACCTTTTCTCCACTGACCCTGACTTTGCTTGCTTTGCGATCTCATTTGGTGTTTTGAAGATTGTGTTGATGGTAATTCCTACCTGGGGCTGTAAAGCCCTGCAGCTCCTCAGGCTGTTATTACATGAGAGACACCACCACCATCAAGGTGAGCTATCTGCACAGAGGCACTAACAGCTGACCAAATGGAGCTTCAGCCCAGGGAAACCTGAGAAACTCTGGGATTCTGGCCAACAGAAACCTCTTGAAGTTTACAAGAAGTGGCCAGTCCTGCATTAGGAGGAAAAATAATCTCCTCATTTCTCAGGGCAGGCTTGGACCTGAGTAGCTGAGCAGGGACCCTGAGGAGAAGGGCCTGGGCACTATGAGGACACCATACAAGACAGCGGTGCATGCTGGCCACAAACAAGGCCACCTGCATACATGTCTGCACTAGGATGAGCATGGCCACCCAGACTATCCTGACATGGGTTGAAGTGTGGTTTCAGAGATGGTGGAGGTTTTTCTCTAAATCGAGAAACAACATGAGAAAGAAAGAATGGCACAAAGGGAAGCTTTGGAAGTTGAGACTGGACATGAGGATTTCATGTCACGTTGAGTTACATGAAGTGTCTCTCCAAGTGCAGTACAATAGGCCACCCAGAAAGAGTCTGGATTAGCCAAAGCTTTGCATTCCAACCAACAGCCCATGAGGATGGATAGATATCAGTAAGGGTAGGAAGATGGTCAAGTGAGAGCAAGGCTGGTAAGCATGGTGGATGTCCCCAGCCTTCAAGAAATCAACTGCAGGCCTACCAGGAGACACCTAATCCTTACAGCACTGGGGCCTCATGGCTGTAAGGCTGGGGGAGATGAGGACAGGGGATTTCTCCACTGAGATTCTCCAGGGGAGAAAGGTGGGGGGATGAGGACAGCCTGCAGGGGAAAAGGCACAGGGCATTCAACCACATAGGACAGCCTGCGGTGGAGATGACAGAGGGCTGTGGGAAAGGTGAAAGCCCCCAGTAAAGTCAACCCCATCACGACTCTGGCTATGGCTGTTGTCTCTGCCACTGATGCCTGTGAGGAGGCACAGTCCCTTGCAGCACGGGGGCCTCATGGCCTCCTTGTGCATCCTCAGGAGCCTGGGAGGTGCACATCTCTATACCCCCTACCCCAGGAAGAGCCCTGAGGAATGTGGGAGGGACAGGATCTCCCTTCCCAGGGGCTGGGGGTCGTGACTTGGCCATTTGGTTAATGGGCTTAGGGCTTGGAACTTTGGCCTAATGCAACAAACTGAGGATTACTCAGCATCAGAGCCACCTTTCCCTTTTTGTTTCCAACTTGTCGTTCCTGCCTCCAGTTTTATACTCTAAGAGCACGCTGAGGAGGCTTTGTAAATAGTGTCCTCAGTGGGAGCCATTAACAGTGCAGGAAACTTTGGAGTTTGAGTATAGCTTTGATTTCTCCAGATGTTTCTTCAGCTTCTTCTCTGTGCCTGTTTTCCATGGAGTTGTCACCAAACCCTCCTGAGGGGTCATTAAAGTGCCTTGGGCTGTTGCTGTGGTGCTGAGCTGGGCCGGGCTCCTGGGCCGCAGGGAGCTCCTGGCAAGTGGGCAGCGCTGCAGAGAGACAGCTCTGCCCAGGAGCAGCTCCTCTGCAAAGCGCAGCAGGGCTGGGGGCACTGCCTGCAGGCACCCAGGGCAGAGCAGCGAGGCACACACAGCTTCAAGGCAGCCTGGGCTGGGAGGCTGCTGAGAGCTCCGAGGAGGAGAAAGCGTCAGGGCCCTGGCCACAGTAAGTCTGGGGGTGCAGGGCAATGCAGCTGCAGCTCGGGGAGGGATCTGGGGAAGGCGGCAGAGCCGCCAGGAATCTGCCTCCTGCCTAGAGGAGGAGGAGGAGGAGGAGGAGGAGGAGGAGGAGGAGGATCTGCTCCCGAGCAGGGCTTCCCTGGTGCCCCCTGCGAGGGCCAGGGCATGAGGGCTGCCTTCTGGCGGGGCCGGCTGCAGGGGTGTGCAGCCGGGTGTGCAGGCAGGGGTGCCCAGGGCTGTCCTTCCCAGCAGGGTCCCTGCACCCCAGGGGGCTGTGTGCTGGGGCAGGGACTCTGCCGCCTGCCAGGGTCAGCACTCAGCCTGCCCGGGGAGCTCCCCACGGCGCTGTGGGGAGAAGCTGTGGGGGGAAGGAGCAAGCCACTGTAGGGCAGGGTGGTTCTGCTCTCCAGAGGGAGCTGCATGGGTCAGGGCTGATTGCAGCTCCACATCGCCCCTGGGACATTTCACAGGGCACTTTTCAAGAAGGACATCAAGGCGGGGGCTACTGGGCAGTAAAGGAACTTTCCAGGATTGGTGCTTTCACTCTCCAGCTGTGATGGTAGGTAGAAATGGTCATGGATCTGTTCAGGTTTGCACAAGAGACAAACAATCCTACAGCATTACAGTGAGTGAGGAACGGGTTTATCAGGAAACCTGCTGAAGTCCCTTCACTCACCTCAGCCTACAGAAAGCATTAACATCACCTTTGTGGTCTCTTCAGGGTTTATCTGAAATTCTCTTCAAGACTTGCCAGCACAGAGATCCCCCTGGTCAGTATCCTGCTGCCAGGAGGTGTCTTCTGGGCAGAGCTGGGGACATGGTGGGTGGGATGGGATCCGTGAGCACGGACAGGGAGGAGATGTGGGGACAGAGAAACAGTTCCTGGCAAATAGAGCTCCCAAGCAGGATCCCAGGGAGTGCTGAGCCATCCCTTGGGTGTTGTCAGTCTCCTCGCAGATTCCTTTCCTTCTCTCTGCCAGTGCCCATGTCCTTCCCTCTCCATCATAACTGCACCTCTGTGGTGGTAAAATGATTTTTCAGACCTTTCCATGCAGATTGGAGAAATAAGACTCCCCTGCTTTCATTAGAGTCCAGTTACTTTTCTTTTTTTTTTTTTTTTTTTTTGAGAACAATTTTTCTGTGCAGTCATCCTCCAGATAGCAGAAATGAAAGCACAGGGCAGCTGGGAACAAGCTTTATTGATGCTGCTGCTCTCCTGACTCTGCACTGAGCAAGAGACAGCTGAGCCCTTTTGCCTGTCTTGTCTTAAGACTCCACACTTTCAGTCATAAAGTTGAGGATTTCTAGAAGTAGTACTCACTAGATGTGATGATGGTAGAAAATAAAAGGCACAGAGAAAGTTATCATAACACATGCTAAACCTCTCTTCTGCATCCCACTCTCTTGGGAGTCATAAGTGCAGATATTAAACATTTCTATTAAGGGTGAATTGCATCTGACAACCCTTGTGAACACTGGAGGAGACAAGAACCAGCTCCCATGTCCTCACGGCAGCAGGGCAGAGCTGGCTCCTTGGCAGCACATGGGCAGAGGTCCTGATCCTCAGAGCAAACAAAGGAATTGTGTTGGAATTGGGAGTTGGAGGGAGGGATTTTGAAGAGAAATGCAGTGGCTTTGCTTGCAGGCTGTCACAATTGTCCCATCTTTTCCTTCTTAGGCCGCTGTACCCATGTCAAGAACCAGCTGATGTCCAACAGCAGCTCCATCACCCAGTTCCTCCTCCTGGCATTTGCAGACAGACGGGAGCTGCAGCTCCTGCACTTCTGGCTCTTCCTGGGCATCTACCTGGCTGCCCTCCTGGGCAACGGCCTCATCATCACCGCCATCGCCTGCGACCACCACCTCCACACCCCCATGTACTTCTTCCTCCTCAACCTCTCCCTCCTCGACCTGGGCTCCATCTCCACCACTCTCCCCAAAGCCATGGCAAATTGCCTCTGGGAAACCAGGGACATCTCCTACTTGGGATGTGTTGCACAGTTCTTTTTCTTTCTCTTCTTGATCTCAGCAGACTTTTATCTTCTCACCATCATGGCCTATGACCGCTACGTTGCCATCTGCCAACCCCTGCACTACGGGACCCTCCTGGGCAGCAGAGCTTGTGTCCACATGGCAGCAGCTGCCTGGGGCACTGGGCTGCTCAGTTCTCTCCTCCACACAGCCAACACATTTTCCCTACCCCTCTGTGGAGGCAATGCTGTGGACCAGTTCTTCTGTGAAATCCCCCAGATCCTCAAGCTCTCCTGCTCAGGCTCCCACCTCAGGGAAGTTGGGCTCCTTGTGGTTAGTGCCTGTTTAGCATTTGGGTTTTTTGTTTTCATTCTGCTGTCCTATGTGCTGATCTTCAGGGCCGTGCTGAGGATCCCCTCTGAGCAGGGACAGCACAAAGCCTTCTCCACGTCCCTCCCTCATCTGGCTGTGGTCTCCGTGTTTATCAGCACTTCATTTTTTGCCTACCTGAAGCCCCCCTCTATCTCCTCTCCACTCCAGGACCTGGTGGTGGCTGTTCTGTACTCAGTGGTGCCTCCTGCAGTGAACCCCCTCATTTATAGTATAAGGAACCAGAACCTTAAGGATGCAATTCAGAAACTGGTGACCAGATGTTTTTTTAGAAGGAATATACTGCCTATCTTCTCCATATCACTTTTAATATAACTCATTACAGTCTCAACCTGTCTTTTATATATTTTGTAGTTGTTGATGTTATTGTTGATTTTTTTTTTTTCGCTTCTGATTAAGTTGTCCATAAAGTGTTTTCACTATTCATACCATTTCAAATTCATTAGCTATCTGTCTGGTTTGACCCAGAGACAGTGTAAATGAATTTCCACACCCTCTGCATTTAAACACTAAAAAGGACCCTGCAGTGATTTTTTTGTCTGAGGCTTTTTTTCCAAGACCTTCTCTGGAGCTGCTGCATCAGCTCCTGCATACAGAGTCCCTGTGCAGCAGATCTGTGACAGAGCTGGCCTCTCTAACAGCATCTCCATCATGAAAGGGGATCTCCTCAGGCCAGTGCCCAAACGCTTAGGGATTTTTCTAACATGCCCAAGGAATAGACTCCAAAGAGGACTCTTTCTCTGCTTGTTTCCCCATGGGCTCAGTGTGATGGCTCCCAGTATGGTCTTGCAGGGACTGTGGAATGGCTCAGGTGTTACTTGTTGGACGGCACCCACACAGATGGTGAATGGTCTCCAGTTAAACTCCCTGGAGCTCTACAGCATGTGATAGGACTGATGGCAGATGATTTTTTTTCTGGAAGGAGTCTGGAACTGCCAGCAGAGTGCAGGTGATCTAGGTGATCTGCAGGATCAGCATGTGCCAGGAGGTCAGCAGTGAGTGGAGCCCACTGAGCACAAACGTGTCCAAGGTGGAGGGACCCAGATATAATGTGCTAAATCTGGGTGTGAAGTGTTGAGTGAGGGCTCTGCACCACCAAGGGACACAGCAGGCACAGGGAAAGGAGCCTGGTGAGTGATTTGTTCTGCCATCACTGGACTCCTGTAGACTAGGTCCAGTACAGCACCCAAACACATCTTGTGGTGTTGGCTATAAGGCAGGGTACCTCTGAGCATCCTCCATGGCCACATAAGTGCTTCTGTGGGAGGCAGTTGGTGGCAGTGATGTCCCTGAGCTGGGTCTGCCTCCCAGCATGACCAGCACAGCCCTGTAAAATCACCATGTGACCCCAGACAAGCCCACTTGTTCCTCAGAGCAGCACCAGCAGCTCAGGGGCTGTGGAGAGCATGGAAAGCAGGTGCAGAACTGGCTGTCCAGGCCAGCACAGATGTGCCCACCTTGAGGAAAGATCCTTTGTAGAGGCGGGATGTCCTGGGAGAAGAGCAGGACACCGTGTGCACGGAGGGCAGATGTGGAAAGAGAAATTCTTTGATGTAGGTGCCAGCTGAGGGCAGCGGGAGCTGCCTGAGGAGCTCCAGAGCCAGGACTCTGCGCTGTCCTGGGGAGCGGGGCTGGCCTGGGGGCTGCAGCCTCCTGGGAGGGGATCTCCAGGCCACGACAGCAGGAGAGACACTGACAGTGACCTCCATCTCATCCTTGCTGTGGGGCCAGACCAGACTGGGCTGGGCTGCTCTGCTCAGCTGGGGAGAAGGCTGGGGAGTGGGGAGAGCTGGGAGGGGGTTGAGATGTCTGGGTGCAGCAGTGCTGGGCAAGGGATAACAGCGCTGTACCGCTGAAGTGTGTGAGTGTGCAAGGTCAGGGCACACAGCTGTGTCCTCGCACAGCCAGGCCTCTCCTGGGAGAGACATGAAGGACCATCAGAGCAGGAGCTGCTCTCTGCCCGTGTGTGCTGGACACCCCAGGAAAGCTGCCCCAGAGTGATCGTCACACACCAGCCAGTAACAACCACCATTACAGCACAGGCCTCTCACCCCAGCTCAGAGAGGTTGTTTGCCACCCCCCCACTGCAGGGTCCCGGGGGGAGCGGGGGGGCGAGTGGCCGTGACACAGTTTGGGGGCCGCCAGAGGGAAAAGCGGGGCCGGGGAATTCTGCAGGAGTTCGAGGTCAGGGGTACTGAGATCCACACGGACACGCCTGCAACAAAAATAGCCAGAAGTCTCTTCAGGGAGGGAGAATGTGGCGTAAATAAACTGAGATGACTGACAGATGAAATACTTGATAGAGGACGTGGAAACCAAAATTCTCAAATATCTGCAGGAAGAAAATTCAGTCAGCCATACAGAACAAAGCGAGTGTTTTAAAAGGAGTAATTAGCACTTTTCTGGGTTAGCCAAATCTCTGCATACAAACATCACTTCTTCAGAAATACATTACTAAATAGTAGGTTATTCTCCCAGACAAACAGTTTACATTTACATCCTGACAGGCAAAGAACAACCTTCAGCATCGGAAAGAACATGGATTAGGTTGAAAAGTCTCTCTCCAACCTTGCTGCTAGGATCATGGCTTTCATATTTAAAGCACCTAAACCACTGCTTTTGAGAAAGTGCCCAACTGGGCTGCTGAAAACAACCTAAACCAATGGCCTGGAAAATTCAAATCTATGAAAGTTGATTTCTTCTTTGATCCATTTCTTCTCAAAGCCATTTAAACAAACTTTGCAATCCTAATTTATTGCTGAAGATGTCGCAGCAGTATTACAAAAAAGCTTCTCATGGTTTAGCACCTGTCATTAGCTAAGCATCAGTTTTTAAAATTCACTTGGTAGATTACAGCTTCACACTGTACCGTGTTTCTAACTAACCTGAAACATACTTACTTCGTAATCCTTGTGATCTAGAAGACAAAAACCTTCAATAAGCTTCACAAGACCCCAAGGGACGGCAAAGGTAGTTGGGAAGCAGTTGACTGAAGTGTGTTTTATTCGGAAAGGAATGCGTGATATTTAGCAGCAAGCATGTTGCCTGGTATCAAGTACCTAATTAAGGCTAATAAATGTGTAAGGCCAAAAATGTATCACGTGACATTTAGAAAAACATAATGAAGTAAGAATATAAAAGGGTGAGAAGCAGAAAATACTAATGTATTTAGTCTTGCCATTTGGAGCTCTTATAACCTGAAGACAGTCAGGTCCCAACCACAAAACTGCATTCTGCATAAACAGCCAGAGAGAATTACTCTTTGATTTCTGTGGAGGCGTTCAAAATGTTCACTTTAGATATTTAAATACTTCAGTTATAAACTCAGGCTCCCTCTTTAGTCAGTGGAGCTACCAGTCAGACATTCAAAACATTTGAACGTCCAATGATTCATTAGTAAAGCCAACAAAATCTACAGTTGGTTATCTTCCTCATTTCCAGAGTATATAAAATAAGGTAAACTATGGTGGTTTTGCAATACAACTTAGCGCTGAATTATTAAAATTGGATGAAAACCAGTTTTATCTTTACCATTTCTTAGTAAATGTGTTTTCTCCTATCAGAAAAGACTTTGCCACAAAACATTAAAAAAACAGACAAATCATAAAAAATACGCAGTACTAAGAAAAAAAAAATCCAATGCTTCTGTCTACAACTTAATTCTAAACTAAATGTTTTCACTCGCATTGTGTTTGAAGCATAAATTAAAAACTGTTATTAAACATGCAGGTGCCAAACATTTAAGAACGTCTGTGTGCACAAAATGAAGGTGTAATAGAAATAACCAGGAAGGATACAATTGCATGGCTGTAGCTTTCTTCAGTGCTTTCTAACAAACAGAGATCCAGCACGGCCTGAAATGAAAAATTAACAGTTTTTAATCTCCTTTTATAAATCATAAAATCTGGCGGGGTTTGGGGGCTGGTGTTGTTGCTACTGTTTTCAGTGAACATAAACACTCCCATATCAACTAGCAGGTGGGTATTTCCCAGTGCCTCCTTCATCTCTCCTCCACAACTCCTCTCCTCGGTCTCCGAACTGGGAAACCATTCCATCAATCATCAAGCAGCCAGAATCCCATTTTCCTCTGGAACAAAAGGGAGCAGGGATTTGGACACAGTAAAACACTGATTCCAGACTCTCTGTGTAACAGATTTCCTCCAGTCAAAACAAAAAAAAAAAAAAACAAAAAAAAATTCCCATGACTCAAAGAAAGTACCAACCATACAAAGGCACGGTCATGACTTGACACGCAACTGAAACATTTCTGAGCCAGATGAAAGATGTTCATTAGTTCATACTGAATTATTAAAAGAGTTCAAAAGAGAAACCCTAAAAGCTCTCCTGTTACGGGAAAAGTTGCAATGACCTTTTAGTTTTCAGGTTTCCTTTTTTGTTGTGTTACTTGTAATAGAAAGGAAGTGTAAACAGAGATTTTTAAGTGCCAAAAATAACCACTCTCCTACTGTCTAACAGAGGAAACGTAACAGTAGCCAAATACCAGGACTAGTCTTTATCACAAATCTAGAGCCTCAAACTGGAGTGTTCCAATACACAGCTGAGAGACAACGTAATGGACATTTCAGATTTTGTTCTCAGCATCTCACTTCTGTTACTGAAAAAGAGTTCTTTTCAGAGAGCTCAGCATGCAGGTAAGTTGTATCATCTTAAGCAGCATCTCTGTTTCTATACACGTGCCATTACAATCGCAGACGGCTGAACCTTTAAAAAGTACTTTCTTCAAAAGTCCATCTGTCTTCTGCTGACTGCGACGCTGCCCTTTAATTTCCCAGTGACAAAAAGCAGAAGCAGCACACTAGAGGCTGTGTGCTGCTGAGGAACACAGGAGCCTGGAGGTCAGTTACTTGAGGAGTAAGCTAAGTAAGATGAACTTGAAAGTCAGCACCTCCTACACTGCAGCTTCCACCTGAACTCCTCTTGTAGCATCTTGTTCACAGGGTCAGAGCCTAAGCTTCTTTAGGCCTTTATTTCATTTTCAGTACCATTTCCAGAGAAAAACCTATGATCACCTAACCCAAGCTATATCCCCTCTATGCTGGGAAGCCAGGCCAGGCAAGAGAGTTGACATTCGGGAGTGACTTTTAGCCAGCAGCCAGCAGAGTGTTCGCTGTGCCAACGGTGTGTAACTCTGTCTTATTAAATTGCACAGATTCACTTGTGAGGAGGAGATTTAGAGCAACAGTTATGACCATCCATTATTAGACAATGAAAGAGATTAAAAAATACCACCACATTCTTTCTTCTACGTCCAAAATAATTGTTCTGTGAACTCCGTGCTTTGCTGAACTGGAGAT